AGAGAGAGAGAGAGAGAGAGAGAGAGAGAGAGAAGAGGGGAGGAGTAAATCTTGCGAGAACTTCCGGGCAAAACAAAATGGCGACCCGCGTAGTTCGGCTCGATTCGAAAAGTGAAATAGCCATAGCATCTTTGTAGACGATCAAATTAGCTTACTTTTGTGCTATAACGTAATCTTTTCATTGGCTTTATCCATTTGATCATCCATATCGATAGAAAGTATTCCGAAATTAGGAAACACAGGTCTTGTTTCACACCGGGTAAGAATAGCAAACGGTGGCAAGTTTCACCCGGGGTGAAAGGTCGATCGTATTTTTATTCTCACCCCGGGTGAGGATAGCCACTTCCTTGGGAAAATAACTGGGCAGATCCAACACGTAACAAAAACCTGGAATAAAAACCACTACAACCAAGGAGTGACAGCTTGAACGAAAACCGCCAAAGTCAACATTTAACAAAACTTCAGCGATAGCCACCAAAATAGACACTCAAAAAGGCTTCAACAAAAAAAAACAACCCCCGCCAGAATTAATACTAAACAAAAGCTTGAACGAAAACGCCAAAATCAAAGAACAAAAACCGCCAAATTAACGCCTAATAAAGCTTGAGCGAAAACCCCAGACACAATTAACACTCAATAAAGCTTGAACGAAAACTGCTCAATCTAGCAACAATGTTGATACTCAAAACGAACAAAACCAAAGGTAGCAAACAAAACACTAAACAATTTTTAAAAAAGCAGACTACGGCGAAGTGGTGGGCACAACATCCAGATGTACTAACTTGGCCATAAAAGCCTCGGCCACTTTCTTAGCCAGGAGAAGTCGCGACAACTGAGTCCGGGCGGTGTCTTCTGTGCTGGGCTCGCTGCTGCATTGTGGAAGGAGGGAGGGAAGGGTGGTGAACAAACACGCGGATGCATAAGCCTGCTAGCTAACACTAGTCGTAAAAAGGGACTACTGGGCGGGAGTGCACAAAGAAGCAGATTGTATCAAGGGAACGGTTCCACTTCCGTTTCCTGCCGTGACGTCACCTGACTATCAGAGCAGACGTCAATGAACACCGCGGCACAACCTTCCATTTCTACAAGTCGCATTCTTGGCACATCTTTTAAAAAAAGCTTCTAGTATTAAAGTGAATAATAATTACTACTATAACACTAAATATAAAAAAGGAAACCAACTACAAAATTACATTAAAAAAGGTTAGATAAAAATATCAACTGGGTGGGCGGTTAGGTAAACATATGAAGGCACTGAACTAGTGGTATAAAAGCTGGTTATTTCTAATCAAAACAAAATGGATAACAAAGCAAACTCGCCTCGACAGCAAAGGACTATAATATATTATATATATATAATAAGCAAAACAAACATTCGCCAGGGATAGTGGGGAGAGGGGAGGGAGGAGAGAGATTGGTCTGTTTTTGAGTTTGTGCTTAATGAAGGGGGATACACACAAGGTTCAATTATCACATGTACAGTTGTAACATACACGGTTTGGATGTGCCCTTCCGACAAATACATGTAACAGAGGAGAGGGAGGGGAGGGAGGAGATGAGGGTGGGGGGGGGCTGTGTTGGCAAGAACTCTACAATTGACACAAATGACAGCGAGTCCTACCCCTAAGTAATTAATTGGACATAACATTAACTTCTCCAAACAAAAAGATAATGGTAAGTGAACTAGTCTACAAAAACAAAATGCTACACAGAGAAAACGGACCTGAATGAAATTAAGATTGGCAGGTAAGCAGGTATGTATCTATCTATATACCCACGACAAAGAAATAATATAATATACCCGACAAGGACAGACGTGAAATGAAGTCTAAATATTATCACAAATGATTTTGTACTAAAGACGTTCTTTTTTCACTATTCCAATCCCCATTCTATTGTAACGCTAATCGAACAAGTAGCTAACCCATCACATCCCTTTTTCAGATACGAACTTACTGAAATCGACATTAATTTTATAATAGTATTAAAAGATGTAAGCGAACCTGGGATGATATTATGTTCACAAGAAGCGAGGATATATCAAGCAAGCGTACACTAGTTTTCAAACTCCCAATTTTGAGGCGTCTATAACCTTTAAAGAAAAAGAAAAGTTCGAAGATACATAAAAAAATATATATATTATTTTAAAAAACAACAACCCAAAAGCATAAAAACCCAATAGTTAAGGTACGTTCTAGCCTCTTGGTGTACCGCGTTCAACTCTAAAACAGCAATTGTTGGTTAATCTATCGGCAGTGCGTGATAGTACAGAGGACTCTTTTAGGAAAACTACTCTAACTCATGTTCCCTTTGGTTCAAATAGCAGCAAGTAGGAGTTCCAAATCCTTAGCGAGGAAAACATATTAACGATAGCGTCTGGACGCCATGCAATTTGCTCAGTTAAAATTGAGAAAACCAAACTAAGACAAAAGAATGACACGCTTTGCAGAAAATAAAGGCAACTATCAGAACATGAATTAGCAGACGCCGTCTTTGTCAGGATGGGTGATAGAGAATCATGTTATGTTCATTATTTTTTAAAGTATAGATGGACACACTTCTCTGAATTACCAAATAAAAGTTGTGAAAAATCAGTCGGTTGTAGATAAAGCAGTTCATAGAGACGAAAGGCGGTTTTGTGATAGGTTGCACTGCTAGAGGTGATTTTCGCTTTAACGTTTGAGTTTGATTAATCTCTTTGTAAGAAGTTTTTTTCATGGAGGTGGGGAAGGGGGGGGGGGGATTAGAAATACATGTACATTAGATTCATTGTAAAATAAAACAGGAAGATAATTTTTAAAAAAAGTAAAATTGCACACAATTTTAAGAAAACTCTTACTAATATGTCGAAACGTAAAACAAAACAAAACAAAACACAATAAGGTAGCAAAGCACCTACCTTGTTTTAGACTCCATCTTCTGACTGCTGCGAGAAAAGAAGAAAAAAGAAAAGAAAAACTGTTAAAACAAAACACGATGTCATATCTTCAGCACATCGAAAAAAACAAACCCAACTCAAAACCAAGCGATAAAAAATACAACAAATATACAGACCAAAGAGAACCCCCCCTCCCCAAAAAACCCCCAACACAAAACAAAAAAAACCAAAAACAAATACAACCCCCCCAAAAAAACAAAAACAAAAAAACCCCCCCAAAACAACAAACAAACCCAAACAAGCTGAAATACAAAGAAAAAGAAAGAAAGAAAAAAGAACAAAATCAAATAATAGCACGTCAAAAGATGTACAGGTGTCGTCTTAATGATAAAAGATACAATTTGTATGATTTGTGGGGGGTTTTCAAATACATGAGTACATTTCAATCCTTGGTCTTTTTATCTGTAACGAAACAATACATGGCAGTGATGGCACGCGGTTTCTAAAGAAATGCCAAACTTCCTTTCTGTCTATGTGACTCGTGACATGCCTGTGTAGTTCCGGTAATAAGCCTGGACATCACGGGGAAATGGTATTAAAATCCACACACGCAACTACACACACAAACACGCACACACACACACGTACAGACACACAGACACACAGACACACACACACACACACACACACACAGATATACAAACACGCACACGCAGAAAAACGCACAGTCACACACATACACAACACAGCACAGACACACACACACAGACACACACACA